TGATTCGAAAAGTTTGCTTAATAAATATACATACATGATTAAAAAAAAACCAATAAGAAATACATATATGAAAACATATTATGTAAATAATATTAATATAATTATAGATAAACATAATATTCGATAAAATAAAAAATTTAATATATCCCTGCATACTAATGATAATTTAATTCGTATGTTATATTTTATTAAAAAAAAAAATAAAAATAAAAATAAAAAAAAAACAAAGCAATTAAAAAAGGAGAGAAGAAAAGTTTTATTAACGTCTATTAACTCATAAGAGAAAGAAAAAAAAGGAAATAAAAGATAATTCAATTTATACGAAACATGTAATCCAAATGAACAAACAATGAGAGTGGATCGTGAAGGAGAGTAGTAGAAATTCAAATGAAAAATGTTGATCCCCCTCTGGTTGATCACAGTCGAGTGAGTTCATTCAAAGATTCTTAACTCGTTGTTGTCCGGTAAAGCTTCGTGTTCATTGTCGAGTGAGTTTCTCTTATGTTAAATCTCCATAGAGATCATTAAGCTGGTCGTGTATCTTAATGAAGCGACAAGAAGCTTCGTACGCGTGAGACACCCACGCAGAATCACGACACGTAACGCCTTTATCGTCGAAAAACTCGATTAACGTCGCGCACTTCGCTGAAGCTTGCATAGGAACACGCAAAAGCATTATTCTAACGAAGACTAAAGAAATTTATTTCGATAGCGAGATGTAACTATAAAGTCTAGAATGTGTATATTGTATGTTTTAGACAGAAAGAAGGAGAAATATTGTATAGATATACCGGGGGGACTGCTTCAATAACTATTACCACTTTTCGTATTCCCGGTATTTGTTTAATTTAATATCAAACATTTTCTACTCAAAGTTACACTATTTTAACTATTTTAACTATATTCATTGTTTCAAAAGTTAGAAATGTTATACCAGTCAAAGTGGCTGCTTTTAAAAAGAACCATTTAAAATTTACTTAATTTCATGATTTTGTATTTTAAAAGCATTTTCTTGTTTCGTGAAATCAAAAAGTTAACGGAGATATATTTGAGCTAATAATAATAATAATTATTTGACCACATGGTAAATCGACCCCTCCCCCTTTATTTTCTCTCTCTCACGATAAATTGAAATACGATGTACATTATAGTTTTTCAACCAATGAGTCTGAATTAAAATTTTTAATAGGTTGCGTAATTATAGCTGCTACTTTTACGATAAAGCGAGGAAAGTAATTAATTACTAAGAAATATTTCAGAAAGTTTTCGTAGAATATTCTTACATGTTTTCGAGAATGCCACGGTATCACAATCGTATCTTTAAAATAATATAATATAAACAGTGATTAAAGTTTAACACAGGTTATTAAAAATTCGTATAAATATTATAAGTATGTTCGATAATCATTATAAATAAATGTATTGAGCATATAATACGTTGATGGGAAATATTTTTTATAAAAATAATCATTTTTATGACTTTTCAAGATTATCAGTAATTTTTTAAATAAAACTCTACATTTGTTTTTTCTACGTATCTGATTTCTCATAACAACAAAAAAGATAAAAAAAAACTTTATTTTTCAGGATGTAATAATTTAAAGAAAAAAAAATATCCTTTCGGCACTCTAATGATTATTAACCCTGTTTCAAGATTTCTCAAGTTTTCCTTGATTACTTCTATATTTTTTTTTTCTCTCTCTCTCTCTCTCTCTCTCTCATTTTCTTCATTTTCGATACAAACGACACTCGTGACATTATCTAGTTTTCTATAGGAGCGTGATTGCCAAGTACCGATTCACTAGATTGGTAAATAACCATAATAACACGCTGGAGCATCGTCCACTTTAATTGCTTCGAGATGCTCGGAAATTGATTATTATGCTTTTTGTTACAGCCCAGCGTGATTCCTTTACCAAATAGAAAATGAGGAAGAAAAGAAGTAACAGCGTTCGCTCGTCGTCAATAGAAAATTTTCCCTTTTTATATCTATATATAACTATACCTAGCAATAGAGATCTTTTCTTCGGTATTACAATGATACCAAAAGTGCCAGGTGTTGAACAAGCTGTAGCCTATTCGTATTTTTAAAAAATTCTCCATAAGATCACTCCTTAAAGCCGGTAAACGAGAATGTGGTTTACAAACAATCACGTTTTTTCTTAAACATTTACCTATACAAATATAATTTAAATAACAATTAATACTAATTCCTACGATATAATCTATGTATTCCTTAAATCAAACTAATCGTTCCTGATTATCACAAATTAATTAAGAAAATAAAAAACAATTTTCTCGGCAATAGGAAAATATTGATATAGCGAACTTTATTGGGTCCAATAAAAGACTGACGTACGCCTACGATATGAATAATTACTACGAATCGAAGGTATACATGTTACTTACGTACTTATGTGACATACACGTCGATATTTATCGAACATGCATTACGTAAGTGACACAGATGGCTTTTGTCCAGCTTGTTATTGTCTTCTTCCATACAATTGACGTAACCTCGTTACGTTTTCACCATGGCAATTCGTCTTTTTTTTTTTTTAACAAAAATTCCTATTTTTTTTTTATATATATAAAAAATTCCTCAAATAATAGAATATAATAATGATTATAAATGAACGTAATGGAATACATTTTTCTATGAGATTTATCAAGATGTTATTTAAAAGATTCAATTAATTTAAAAATTCGTAAAAGAGAGAGAAAGAGAAAATGAGAGAGGATAGATAATTTCTAGAATCAAGCGGAACCATATCAAATATTTCGTGCGTCTATATAATATGCGTATGTATCTCTACGTACTACTCTCCTTATGTATTTACATAAGCTACGCGTATTTCTATATACACGGTTTCTCTTATGTTCATATACGATTTTCTCTATTACGAGCAAATAACAGAATTCCTTACGGTAAATTACGAATCGAGGATCCAACTATCGTCGGCTTGTTCAACGCAAAAATTTATAATTAAACCTTTAACCGGATTGACGTATATACGCCGCGAATTTGAAATACCATAGATACTACTATGTATTTCTCTACCTGATGGGACCCCATCTTAATAGGGGATCGAATTAGAAGTAACAATTATAGATTATAATAGATAACTATTTATTAAATTGTTCGCGGAAAGTAATTTTGTTTTTTTTTTTTAATGGTAAATAAAATAACTATTTATTTTGTCGTCACACTACATTCAATTGGATGACCTAAACGCGGTGTACCTTTCAAATCGAAATTTCGAGAAAAATAATTATCCTTTAAGTTAGTAAAAAAAACAGTAAAATATAACAAAAATGTTGACTTTGATTTTCCATTTCTTATACGATCCCCTTTTAAAAACCATGTAATAATTCTAATTTTAAATTAATAAACACATATTCAATTGTACAATAAAATATAACTTTTGTTAAAAATCGGTCATTTTAATGGGGTTGCAGTATAAATAATTATATATAAATAATCGGGGTAAGTTTTAGAGTTTAATTCATTGCATGTCGAAATAAAGAAACGTTGTCTTGTCGTAGATAAAGATCAGTCTAATGATCGAAATTATAAGGAAACCGAATTAGTCTGGGGGAAAGAGGAGGAGGGTGGAAGAAAAAAAAGAAAAAGAAAAGAAGAAACATCTTCAGATATTCTGGCTCTGTAAAATTTCGAACATTTTTCTAACGACTAGTTTCGAAGATAGGCAGGTAGAGATCTTAACAACCGACTTAGTGCTTCTTCGAGCGCATCGGGTAATATTCGAAACACCTGCCCCTTGATTACAAATGTAAATTGCTTTAATTAGATAATTACGCGCGTTAGGTGGATATTACGATAAAACCGGTATATACACTTTTTGTATTATACTCATCACACAAAATCATATAGATAAATAAATAAATTTTACTGATTTAAATTAATTCGAATGCTATTATAAGAATTATACAATTTTATCTTTATTTTAATGTTCTCTCTCGTAATTAAACGTTGAAATAAAAAGTCAACTTTATATTATCCAATTATGATGTAAGTAATAATAAATATAAGAATTTATTTTTTTTTAGTTTTATACTTTTCAAATCATTCTCTGGATCCTTTTGTGATTTTCAAATACTATAATATTATATATATATATATAAACTTCTTAATATATATCTATGAAAATAAAATAATAATAATTATTGAAGAAATCGAAAATATATAATTTGAATGGATTTGATAATTCAAACGTTAAATTATCGATTGATATAAATAATAAATGATTTTTAAATGAAAATTCAAATTCCATCAATACCAAACTTACTATATTTTTGACAATAAAACAATTTGTATAATTATAATTACAATTATCATTAAATCACAAATGAACAAAAATGAATAATAACACACATAGAAATAGATAATTTAAATAGAAAATAAAAAAAAAACCCGATCACACATTATATAGACCAGTGGTTGTAGACGTACGTTTAGAGATAATTCATCTGTAAATTGCAATATAAGAGAAACCGAAAAAGACAAAGAGAACCGAGTAAGTCGCCCTATAAGCGTCCCCTCGTGGACGATCCCGAGAGGTTGGAGTGAAGGGGCGCGAAACTCGCAACCCTCTTCTTCCCTCCGAGAGTAGCCTTGAATGGTTCGAAAATTCAAGCGCAAAAAAAGGAAATAGGAAAGCCGCACGCACATGGTCTTGAATACTCGAGTGACTACTGATGGTCACGCTTGCGAACGGAAATTCATCGATTTATTGACACGCACATATGTACCTATATACATATGTACGTGCATGCACATATATATATATACAATACATATGCGTTTTCTCTTTTTCTCTCTCTCTGTCTCTCTCTTTCTTTAACTATCCTTTTCCTCGTTCAGAGATAGATAGATAGGAAGAGAGAGAGAGAGAGAGAGAGAGAGAGAGAGAGAGAGAGAAAGAGAGAGAGAGGGAGAGAGTTTGGAGTGTAATATTCAAACACAAAGAGGAACTAACCTTCACGCTCTTCGAATCGATCACCGGTGGCCGAGGAAAGCGCGTCGCTGGGAAAACAATCACATAATGCACTGGACACTGTGTACACGAGAACACTGGCTCCTTTTCTTTTTCCTTGTTCTCTTTCGATCTTTCTATCTATCTTTTTTTCCTTCTTTAATTCTATCTTCTTACAAATTTGTTGGCCCTTCTAACGTTCGTTATTTTTTCCTTTTCTCGAAGTTGTAGTACAAGAAGCAACCAAAGGGTTGCGGTATGCGGTAAGTAGTGGTTACCACCGAAGGAAAAATGCCAGGGTCGGTTCAACGACAAAGAACAACAAGCAGCAGCAGCAAGGACGAGAAGAGAAGAGAAGAGAATATCGTCCCTCTCGTTCTTTCACTTCTGTTTTCTCGATCTCACGACCGACCTTTCTTCCCTCCCTTCTTTTTCTCTCTTTCTTTTGCCCTTCCAACTATTACTGGTAGAAGGAAAACAATAAAACTGCACGGAGTGTCGAGGAGCTGCTTGGCTATCTCTCTCTCCCTCTCTCTCTCTCTCTCTCTCTCACTCCCTCCCTCCCTTTTTCTTTTTCTCTCCCTTTTAAAACCGATCTTATCGTCCCTTCCACTGGATCTTTCTCTTTCTCGTTCACGCGGTTCTCGAACGCACCTGTCAAACGTGCAAAGGCGTAGAAACGAGGGAGATCCGCGTTGGGGTAAGGAAACCAAAATAACAAGAATCTTGGATAAGTGTTATTCGTTAAAAGTACACTTTTTCCTTGTCATAATACCGGCTTGTTTGTTAATAATATAAACCGGCTTTCTATATCTTTTTTATTTTTTTCAAGGAAAACAAATTATAATAGTAAAGAAGATAAATATACTTATAGTTTGTGATATATTACAAGTATACGTTGAATAAAGATGGTGACAATAATACAAGAAATAAGGGAAGAAAATGACAAAAATGACGCGACCGAGCCGCCGTCTTCTCTTTTCAAACGCGGACGATAACAATGGCGGCGTCCGATCGAGAGAAACGCCACGAGAACTCGTCCCAGCAACGGGGATTCCAAATGCACGAACAACATATAATACAGAAACCGGCTTCGAAGCGCACCACCAGCGTAGTATCGAGAGAGAAGATGCCACGAGTATTGTATATCGCCACGCGCGTACTCGCCTATGAAGTATCGTCGTCCTCGTCCTCGTCCTCTTCGTCGTCGTCGTCTTTCGCTTGATCTCTCGCAAGTATCACTCTCTCTCTCTCTCTCTCTTTTACCCTTTCTTTTTCTATTTCTCTCTCACTCTGTTCATCCCTACTTATCTTTCTTTCCCCTCTTGCTCTCTTATTTTACTCTACTCACTCCCACTTTCTCCTTTCTCTCTCTCTCTCTATCTATCTATCTATCTATCTATCTCCCACCACAGCAAAAGTAACTACACCTATCTGTCCTGTTGTCTGTCTCTCTCTATCTATCTCTCTCTCTCTCCCTCTCTACGTTTCTCAATCTCCTTCTCTTTCTCTGTTCACCGACCGACCGTCGTCGTCGTGATCTTCTTCCTTCCTCCCTCTCCTTTTCGTTCACACTCCCTCTCTCGTTATCTTCTCTCTTAGGAGCGCTCGCGGTGGCGGCTCTACGAGGACTACGAGGACGTTTAGCCAACGAAGAAGGGAGGAGGCAACGAGAACGTTTCGACGAAGCTACCCGAGCCGCCGCGAACCATGGCCGTCGAATAGAAAGCACCGACTTCGGAAACGAAGGGAGTGGTGGGGGATAGAGCAGAAGTATCTACTACACTACTACATTACTACACCACTACTCATGAGAGCTAGGGAGCAAAGCGATGGTGGGGGAAAACGTTGGGTACACGCGGAGAAACCGAATGAGAGTTAGATGCTATGGGGGTAGGGAAAGGGTAGAGGGGTGGAAGGGCGTCGCTCGATCGCTCGTAGAAAAGGCCAAGAGAACGTGTTCGGGCGTTTCCGGAAGCCCTCGGCTTTTCTTCCCCCATACCATGCTTTGCCAAATGAGCTTGTGGTGGGGACACACCGGCGAGTTTCAGGGGCACCCGCCATTACCGCGGAAAAACGAAGCCCAAGGTTGAAAGCCACTGTCTAGCTAGTTCTCTCTCTCTCTCTCTCTTCTCTCCTCTCTTCTCCTCTCCTTTCTTGTTTTCTCCCTATTCTTTTTCTCTCTCTTTCTCTATTTTATGAAGAACTCGTTGAACGAAGAAAATACCTGCGAGTCGAGCCATAGCCGAGAGTGCATCTAAAGCAAAAGAGATGGAATCGGATGGGATGCTGTGCTGCTGCTGTTACTGCTGGTTTGTGCCTTTTGTTGGCTAACTAAGGAAACCAGAGAAATTCGTGAGATTCTTGATAGCGGTGCGTAATACGGCGAATACACATTTGGATGATGTATACAAGATTCGAATGATACTTTGATTCTTTTCTTTTCTAATGGATTATCTTTTTATTCTTGTAAGTCGTTCGAATTTCAAAAATGTTTTCTTCGATTAAGATAAATACTCCCGATTTTATTTTTACGATAGAGTTTTGTGTTTTCTAATAATATCTGTTACATCTTGTATAATCTATTTAATGTATTTTATATATAGAGAGATATAAGTAAATAAAAATAATTGTTACATGTTGTAATTATTTCGTATTATATTTATTAAATACATATACATGTATATATGAGGTTTCTAGATCAATGAAAATAAGATATACTAATTTTTATCATAAACATATTGTTTAATCTTTCCTGTTATCGACTTGACCTTTTAATCGATTACGAAAGAAACGTATTGCCGGTAATTATCGATGCCTTGCATATATCTCTCCTTCCTTTCGTTCCGACACGGAATTTTGCAACGTGCAGTACCTTCTGCGCAAGTTTCGCACAAGCTTCATATGACCAAAAACTACAAAACACAAAACTAAAATGGAAAAAGGAAAGAAAATAGGAAAAGAAAAACTCTAAAATGATAGGAGCAACATTGAAAACAACTGTGCATGCGAACACTGATCGTTTTCTATTTGCTCCGATATATCGGTCGCAGTATCGATAAAATAGTATCGATTAACATTGTACTGCTTTTCTCATTCTTTCTTTTTCTTTTTTATCGGAAATTGGCGCGGGGCATACAGTCTGTTAAATGAACAGAGGTGTGGCCTCAAACAAGACGTATGTATGTGTGTGTGTATTTTCAGGGAAGTACCGCATGAGTAACACGTCCTGTACTTTGCAAAACGATTCCAGCGCAATCTATCGGCAGGTGGTATTAGTAACTTAGTGAAATTACACGCTCGATCGGTCTTCCATAAGCAAATTTCATCTCTGACCTTTTTTTATCTCTTTAAATAATAATTTTTTTAAATAAATTCAAATATTTCTATATTCAAATGTTCCCATTGTTTAATACGAATTATTATGATGATTAATTTAAATTCAATTTCGATCATTTTATCCACATTCGACAGAATGAAATAACTCTTTTCGTCACAATCATATTCTAATAATAAATTAAAGAAAAAACCGAACTAATAATAAATTGTCATAGAAAATATTAACGAAACGTGGGAGGAAGAAAAAGACGGAAGGACGATCGTGGGACCATTGCCGACGAGGACGAGAACGAGAACGACGATATCGTTCGTCTGGAATTCTACTCAGTTTCTCCATATTCCACCCCCGTCTTTACCATCTTGTATTTCCCTCTGTACAATTACACGTTGCGACGATGATAAACGGTGTTATTTCAAAAGCGTGGGCAACAACGATCGGAATGGTAGTAGACGATAGAATGTGACATTCGTCCATTATTCAACGAGACGGCGTACGAGACAAAGACGATACAGAGAGAAGAGGATAAAAGAGTAGATGAGCGGGCGAGGGTGTGTGTTATGTAGAAAGACAAGGAAAGAAACCAATGTTATGTTGGCTTTTATCGTTAGTCAGTTACGAGGACGACTAATATTCCGTAGCCTAGACGACTAGGCCGAGTTCCCGCAGTTTTGCATCCTACTTCTCTCTCTTACTCACTCTCTCTCACTCTCTCTCACTCTCCCTTCTTTCTCCTCTTGCTTTCAGGCTGTATATTTATCGGAAAACGTATCGAGGCCACGCGAAGCAAAGCTCCTGGAGCGCAGGTCCGTTGTTGGCGGGACACAACCCCCTGAAACATCCCCTTCTTACCTTCGAGACACCGCAACTAGAACCGCTGGCGGTAGCTCGAGGGATCGTAGGTGAGTTTAACGGTGTGGTTCGACCTACCCGCGACCGTGGATTCCTTCCTTCGCCGAAATTCCATTGTGTTCTCTCTCTCTCTCTTTCTCTTTCTCTCTCTCTCTCTCTCTTCCTCTCATTCGTCATCCCTTCTCCAATCTATCTCTTTCTATCTTTCCTCAACGCACACACGACGAAAGCAAGGATGCTTGTGACCGTTCGCGGCAATGCAACGGCACAGCCTGCGTGTTTCCTAAGCGACGACGACTCCAGAGAATATAGTGACTCCAAGATTTCATCGTGAGATAACTCATATTACATACAACATACACACACACACACATACCCAAGTATCCATACAAACGAAAGAGAGCAACAACAGCAATTATCCCGTTCGTGATCGATAATGAAGCGTACGACGACGTGCATCCTGTTTAAAAGAGCCGGATTTGCGTGCTTCAGCAGCATCGATTTCGTACTTCGATTTTCAAGATATTGTTCAACCTCATCGAGGATACCACGCTAGAGTGCTGAATCGACCTAAAGAAAAAGAGAGATAGAGAGAAAGAGTAAGAGAGAAAGAGAGAGAGAGAGAGAGAGAGAGAGAGAGAGAGAGAGAGAGAGAGAGGAAAGAAAAAAATGTGAAAAAGCATGCAAGGAGGGTGGAACGGTACGAAGCACACGTGCGTACGACCCATTTCTTTTCTTCTCTTCTTTACTCTTTCGTTATTCAATTTAGTTATTCGCGTTCTATTTTACAATATCATATTTTATTGGGAGCATTTAATCGAGAGAGAAATCCTTTTCCGATCGTTCCGAATTCGTATGATAGCCGAAGGGTAGTCAATTTAATAACCCCATCGTATTCGAATATCTAATGATTTAATTAACGGTAACGTTTAGAACATATATACCTCCTATACCTCCTAGTATTTACCTATATGCATACGCACGTATCAAGTTATTTCTAATCAAAATTTGTATTCGGGAAATTTCATCGTACGCTCTCGATCCGCAGCACGCTAATGTTACAGCAAGCCGAATAAATTTGCATGGCTATGAATATATTATAAAAACGCGTCCTTCTCTTATTCTATTTCTATTTTTTTTTTCTCTTTTTACTCACATATACAAACGTACACATATACCGATAGAAATCAATATTTCCGGCCAATATGGAGGCAGGATCGAGTTCGATGAGGTTTTTTCGATTGGCACAACCCTGATTCGAAGAGTTCATTTATTCCATCTTTGAGAGATTCTTAATATTAACGTCGAAGGAGTAAACGTTCTTCATAATGTCCTTCTTCGGCTGGAAAAAAGGCGGTAGTGATACTTCCGATAACACTGGGAGAAATTTACAGGATGGCCTCTTTCAAATAGCCTCTCAAGCTTGCCACATTCTTGTACAGGTAAGTTCACCCGATGCACGATCGATCTATCTATGTATCTATCTATGTATATATATATATATATATATATATACACATGTGTACGTAAGCATATTTGATTATGATTTTATCTTCTTTTTGAATTTATATATCATTACGAACTAAAAAAGATCAAACTCTTTAACACGTTTACTGCTACTATACGTCGGTCATCAATAATTGGAATTTATTTCTTCGATGGTTCCCACGGTGGTATCCATCAATGACCAGAACGCTTCAAATGTTTCAATAATTAAAATTAAATAAATAAATATTGACGAATACAACATTTTAAATATCATAACTAATTTTAGACAATATTATGAATTAAAAAATGTACTAATCAACAATGAAAACGTTATATATTGTATTACAAATATTAAATACGGTTTATCGTTTTACTCTTTTGCGGCTTCCTGCAAAAGCATTCATGCAAATTTGACGTAGCAGTCAACGTATTTAAATTATTGACTCTCTTTTCAACTGCATTTGAATTTCCCGCTCACGCATGAGTTCAAAGATGGCACAATTGTATCGTCAGCTGAGCGACACTTAGCTCTTTGTATACCTTCCACTTTTATACGCGGAAAAAGAGTCGTCAAGCAGTCTACATACTTACTTTTTATTCTTTATTTGTGTGTATTATCTTGTGATAAACATTATTCTCCGAGAGAATACATACTATTTTTGCTACGATGACGATTTTCTTTGTGAGTATTCGATTCGAAGCACAGTGGTTAAATAGTCAACTTGTTTCTTTTCAAGCATTGAGTCAATGAACTACGAGAGCTGCATACTCTCCCCTCCCCTCTGGCCCCTCTCTCTCTTTATCTGTTAGTAAAGTGTTGGCGTTAACGCATGAAATATAATTGCATGTTCTTTAATTAAGTATAAAATAAAATATCTATCGACGCGAATAAATGTTTGGATGTATGCGCGTGTGTAGATGACGAGAACGAGAGCTTCATAGAAATGTTTTAATGTACGTAACGTATAGTATCTCTGCAAGGTCAGCGATATACGTATATATATATATATATATATATATATATATATATATATATATACTTATTTATGATCGCGACCATACGTGACTCACATGTAGTTGATAAGATGATTCTCTAACAGAGACATTTTACTTATTGTTAATCTTTCCTCGTGTGTGTATGTATACTTGTCGCAATTAATCCAATAAAAATAATTACTATCTACGAAACGCGGAGGGAGAAAAAATGTAAAAGAAAAGAAAAAAAAAAGAAAGAAAAAAAAGAAAAGAAAGAAAAAGAAAAAACAAAAATATAAAAAAAGAACTTATAACGAATCTTTTTAATCAAAATATTTTCATTCATAAAATAATTTGTATCGTATAATGTATCTATTAATATACGTTTTTAACTTATATACCTATGTTATGTCTTTTAGGTAAACAATACACACAACGTTTCTTACGGAGGCGGAAGCAATAATGTAACGAACGTTGCATATTCGAAATATTCAACCGCGGGTGGATCGACCACACTATCGACATCCACTTCGGTACGAGGAACGTCTTCGGGCAAACCGTATCCGAAATATGCCGAACCACGGACGAAGGACCAAGACGTTGTGGTTCTGTTACCGCATAGGAAAAGCAGGACACCCAAAATCAAGCACAAATTATCGGTATGCTAAATATCTTATATGTTTTCTTATTGGCAAGATTTTTTTTTTACTAAGAAATCCGATCGAATGTTCGTATAGAATTAACGAGAAACCGCAACAATTACCTTTTAACACGGACTTTGAAAACGTTCGTGTTCTTGAAATGATTATAAGCATTATTATAGGTTTATTTATATACCATCATATATTCCTACGATCGAATAATTCGAAATAACTGGAAACAAATCGAACTCTAAGAAATCCTATCGCTATGTAATTTATTTCGATAACCCTTAATCAAGACTTGTTAACTACAATCTTGTAAATTGTTACGCGTTACGTATACACGTTTATTATCTAAATCTCTATAAAGAATAATTCGTTTACTATTATACTTCCTCTTCATCTCTCTCTCTCTCTCTCTCTCTCTTTTTTTCTTTCTTTTCCGATATTGCCCTAAATATTTCTCGTGTCACGCACCCACTAACATTCGACTAATCCTATAAAAATCACCCCTTCGAGAGATTATTGGCAAATTTCAGGCGACGGTCTCGCCCATCGATTCTTTCTTTCTTCCTACCTTTCTTATTTCCTTTTACTCCGAAGTTTTCGAGAAGAAGGGCCACAATTTCTTGTCAGAGACAGAAAGAGAGAGAGAAAGAGTGAGAGAGATAGGTGTCGGAGTTGCGTGCCATTCGTCGACATCATTCGTTGTTAAATAATCGATTCGACCCTGGGGCACATGTCTTTCTTTTCTTTTTCCAAATATAGGCGAACTCACGCACACAAATATACTCTTTTTCTTTTTCTTTTTCTTTTTCTCTCTCTCTCTCTCTCTCTCTCTTTTTCTATCTCCAAGAAGGTGCATGCTCGAGAGCAATGAGAGTGGCGAAAGTCCGAAAAACCCCATGAGACCAGGAACGATATGGGGAGGGGGTAGAAGGTAGTGCTAGAAACGTAGAATTACGGGCATCCCAAGCATTATTACATCGAGCTTCATCAACACGAACAGTTCAATGCGTTCTCAGAACAGTATAATCTGATGTATCAAAACCAATTCCCGTGGCACTGACGACGACGACGACGACGACGACGACGACGACGACGATGAGATAGTGTCGGTGAAGCACGGTTAAAGTTCATACCAGTTTCGTGATTATAATACCATATGCAATGAGGAATCCGTTATTGCCATTATTACATGTCGTACGCTCCTCCTTCGGCACGATTAGTATTCCCTTAAGCGTGCTTCCTCCTCCTTTTTCCACCCCTATAACCCGGTACACGGGAAAGAATAGAATTTGAAGGGAAAACTCTATGAGAAAATGTACAAGAAAAATAAAGAAAGATCGAAAGTCAAACTTTTCTATTTTTTTTTTTTTTTTTTACCAGTGTCTATCACAACCCTTTCGATGATGATGTCAAAGATACGAGATACATGTAGATGCACACATCGATTCTTTTTCGGGCACGAGTTAGTGAAATTGGAAAATGATTTATGGAAAGGTAGAAAGTGCTTTTTTGCATTTTCCCCCATTCACCCTATCCGTCGCCTTTAGTTTCCTATTTCGTATTCACGTCCATCTAGGGGTGAGGGAGGGAGGGAGGGAAGAAGAGGGGGGGAGTGTATCTACCTAATGCCACCGGCATAAAGAAATAAATTGACGTTTATGTACTATCGATATTTATAGTTGAAAGTAATATATGTTCCGGACGATAAAATTTTCTTCTCTAGAGGCTGCTACTCTTTCTCACTTTCTTTCTATTTCTTTCGAAGATGATGAAGAAGAAGAAGAAAGAACTTGGTTCAAGATATTTTAGCGAGACATAAGAATTACTGTTACATTCGTTCAAACTCTTTAATTTGTAATATTTTCTAATACCATATAAAACGAATTATTTTATAACACCAATGTGTTCTATAGATATAAAAGTTGGAATAAACGGGGAAATGATAATTTTATGAACGTGTGCCACATATACAATGCATATATATATTGTGTGAGGTTAATATTATCGCGTGTTTAAAACGCATCATTCGTATTTCTCGCAAAGGTAACCTTGAAGAAAGAATGACTGCATCATTTCTCATGGAATAGCGTGGATATTGTCTTCCCGAGCGATTAATCATTTGTCCATATCGATTTGAGTCAATTCTCATTGGATATCTCGCAGGATGTACGAACGGTACGTTCGATTATTCCAAATCTCTTGAACATCGATTGACAATTTATAAAAAAAAAAAAAAAAAAACAAAAGAATAGGCCGAAAGAAGAAATACGAAATCAGAAAAAAACAAAAATTACAACGAAAAATATATCAAAGGGATCGCGTGTTCATTCGTTGTAACCGAAATGAAAGACAGAGAAACGTATAATAATTTCTATTCCTTATACATGTTTACGCGGACTCGGGAATCGAGTTGAGACTATTTTATTACTTCCAGACATTTTTATTACTCACGGACCTTCCGAAACAACTTTAACCCCATCGTTTCAACCGAAACGATCACGTTATAGATGTATACGTATTTACTTACATACATTTCTTCTTATGCGTATGTAATAGCAGATAGGTATTTATATTAAGGCCATCAATTTTTCAATGTTTCGTTTTTCATAATTTCACAGGTATATATATATGTATATACACCACTAGTGTATATAACGCCTAGTACGCTATTACCCTTTACAGTATTTTTAACGTTAGGAGGAGAAACAATTTCGAAATTGAGGGCTCGACGAAAATCGATCTCGAGTAGTAATTAAACGGTTCGTACAACGTTGTGAAAGAGATGTAATTACTACGAGCGTGGAAACTATGCACGAAATAAAGTCGTAATAGAATTTAAAAATAGGTCAAAGAGAACATTTTCGTGTTTCGTCGCATGCGCGCAAAAGAAAAAAGAAAAAAAAGAAGAAATATGAGAAGAATCTTTGTTCAATCAAGGGAATTGCTGAAGTGATTTAGGACATATTAGGATTAAAAGAATGTCGATTTAAGACAAACATATTTTTTCATTTCGAAGTTGGCCGGGCCAAGGTTTCGTGACAAAATATATTAAAATAGATCGATAAGGTTGCTGAAGCTTCACCGCGATGTAGCAGAAAGCTTCATCAAATATGCATCAGCCTCGAAAACTGACATTTGAACGTGGTGCCAGGTGCCGCGTTGCCACGTTTTCCTTTCGACCACGAAAGAACATCGTTGATAACGTCGAAAAACTTTTACTTACTTTTTTTCTCTTTTTCTATATTTCTCTCTCCTTCTTATCCCCCAAACTCGGTACCAACAATTTTTCTTATGAATTTCGGAAGAAACTATACCACGACCATCGACCCACTTTTCTTCAAATATTTTCTTTCTTCTATTTTTTTTTATCGTTTTATCGTTTCGAAATCAAAGTTTAACTAAAGTTTATTATATATAGGTATAGATATAAATAATTAAATAGAAATATATATTATCAATAAGAAGCGATCTCGAAATAAATGATTAACGATTATTTTTATCAAATAATAAGAATCGGTATTAATGAATAATAAAAATAATCGATATTCTTTTAAATCATTAGTTGATTTTTTACTCTCGTAAATTCATTTTATAAAAGAGGATAAAAAAAAACATGATCAACATTATTTACTCTAATATAATAGTCCTTATTCAAACAAAATATAAATTTATCATGAAATACTGTTTATCGTTTAACGAGTATCGATTATTAAGATTATCTTTTATTATTAATAATTACGAATAAATATTATGAATCTCGACGAATATATAATATAATAACGAAATAATCGCCAAAATAATAATAAGCAGTCAATCACTGACCTAGTTCGTGTAGGAATCAAACAACCAATGTGCGAGACAATGTATTGTTCCCGAAGACAAAAATTTCATGTCGCCCATTGGCGATGAAGACCAGTAGATGACGAAATTGGAACACCATTCTTATCGTTTTCAATACCATCGTCTGAAAAAAAAGAAGAATGAGATAGAAATAGAAAAAGAAAAAGAAAGAGAGAGGAAAGAGAAAATTCAGACGTTTTCTTTTACCACGAAGCTTCCATTCACACATCACTCATCCTTTCGTTCGTTTATCTGCCTCAGACAGACTTCCTAGTCGGTCGTTCTATCGACTCTACTCCTTTTTGCAGTCATTTTTACTAAACTGCCTTACGCAATACGTTCGCGCAAAACGATAAGCACATTGTCGTGCGCGCATTGTACCGTGGAAAAATGAACTCGCGAACCGAAACGTTCTGGTTATTGAAAAAAAGGAAAAGAAAAAAAGAAAAAAAAAGAAGAAAAGAAAAATACCAACTAAATTTTATTTCTTTTCTATTTTTAATTACATAAGCAGCATACACGTCATATATGTAATCTGGATTTTCATTAAGGTATATTACGCAAGATGATTTATTCGAAATAACGCGAATAGTAGAAAGAAGGTCAAAATATTTTTCATATCATAAAGGGATTAAAAAAAAAAGTAGAGATGTTACATTACTTTTACTTTTCTTTTTTATTAAAAAGCGAACTTTACATTCGTAACTTAATTTTAGGGAAAAGTAGTAACACATTTATATTAGTTAATAATATGTTTACGAGAAAGATGAAATGTCTTGGCTTATTGTAAAAAAAGAAAAAACGAAAAAGTAGATTTAACGATCCTTTTTCTCTTTTATCTTATTGTATTTTCTTTTCTCCTTGTTGTCACACGCGTGCATCATATTCGTAATTTGATTTTCCGAAAGTAAAGGTTTCCTTTAGAGATCGTTATACGATGTAAGTATATACCATCATACTACGTGGCATACATACGTTATTACATCGACACATTTTTCAAAACGAATAAATTTAACGTCGTGTAACGAGAGATTCGATTAGTAAGCTCTCAGAGCATTCGTTTCTATTTTTTTTTTTCCCATAGCGGAACCTCGCCATCTGTCATTATAATCATTTGCTCCATTGACATGCATTTTCCCCTTTCCTCGTTTCTATCAATCACATCATTACTGTCGCACGCGCGCTCGCGCATATCACCATGTTATTACGATAACGTGATTAGTGAAAATATCGTGGAATCTATGTTTGAAACGATCAACGTCCAAACGAACGACTACGAGCTGCCAAGTTGTAAAATGTAAAATATAATATAATAATGATAAATAATATATATCTATATGAAACATTGAAAGTATTCGTGTAAGTACACTTATCTACACCGACATACTCTTTTATATGGAATTGTCGAAACGAATTTAGTTAATGAAAATCCTTTTTACGAACGTATTTTGTTTTATCGTTAGACGGTCTCGGAAAATGCAAGATTGGACGTTAATTCGTCGACAGGTGATGACGATTTAGAGTTATGGGACCAATCTGGATTCATGCTGCGAAACGACGTAGACGACCCTCTCACTAATGCAAAGTAAGTAAAACTATTAATTACAACAAAATGTGATTATATTAGATAATTCTCCTCTTTTATTTTTCTTTATAATAAAGTTTGGTAATTTATTATTTCTTGTTCTTTGCGTATGAAGAATACATAGTTTAAGCTTTGACATATATTTTGACAACCTATTTATATTTTATTTTGCATACGTATATCAAATTGTTAAATTATTATTATCTCATTATTATTAATAAAGGTGGGGTGCGCAAGGATGGTGCAGACCAAGTTGCATACCAATAACGGTGATCTTGATACTCATCGTTCTCGTAGTTCTGTTACCCCTTCTTGATCATGCCACGGATAAATTCGTATTAAATTCTACGAGCATCGATGCCGAACTAACTTGTATGGATAGCTGTAGTATATCTCTCGTCGAATCTATACCAATTGGATTGAATTATAGCAATAATTCGGTGTTACACGAGACTACCTATGACTCTTGGATGAACCTAATCGCAATGGCCGAAAACACGATAGAGATAGCGTCCTTGTATTGGACCATGAGAAGACAGGACGTTTATCCGGATGACAGTGCGAAAGAGGCAGGTGCCAGTGAATGATTTATTTATTAATTCTATTTATGTTACATGTGTATGATTCATCATTTATAATATTAAAAAATGTTCAATGATTTTAGGGCGAGGCCGTATTCCAAGCACTTATTGAAGCAGGACGGGACAGACAAATTTCATTAAAGATAGCGCAGAACATGCCTTCTCATTCGTATCCGAACATCGATACTGAAATATTGACGAAGAAAGCACACGCACAAGTGAGCCCTTTGATTCTGCAGATTTGTTTTATTGTTCGTTGAAGAACGATTGCTATTGAAGCATTACAAATCGGTTTAACGAACACTCCAATAAATTTCTATTACTTCGTTGCCTTCCTGTGTCTCTTCTATATCTAACGAGAATACCACTATGCGGGTGTAACCTAATTTTACGTTTACTTATTACCCACTTTCTCTACTTCGCCATGATTTACTCAAGAACCGATACCACGTGTCGCATCTCGGTAGAGTGAACTTTGAACTTTCGTTTTGCACTGTTCTATTTCTTTACGTTATTTAATAGAAGTACAACTAGGATCGTACAAATATGTTTATCTTTTCAGGTAAGAAGTTTGAATTTTGCTGGCCTCTTAGGTGGGGGTGTACTTCATACTAAATTGTGGCTGATAGATAGACAACATGTATATGTTGGTTCAGCTAACATGGATTGGCGATCTCTTACACAAGTTAAAGAACTGGGATTGGTTGCTTTAAATTGTTCCTGTTTGGCGACTGATTATGCCAAAATTTTCGACGTTAGTCATTTATAAATAACAAACTAATTTTATTACTATTTGATTATACACGATGTTTAAAAATTTATGTATTTCATTGTTTAGATTTACTGGCAATTGGGCAAAGATGGTAGAATGCCACCAACGTGGCCGGACTCCGTCAACACGAAAATAAATATCGATAATCCTATGAATTTTACCTTAATGGGTAATAAATACAAAACGTATATCGCTGTAAGTATTTCGTTATATTATTTAATTACAAATAAATTCTATACGAACTTGTCAATAATGATAAGATATTCATTTACAGAGTTCACCACCTCCATTTTCGCCTACTGGTAGAAGCAACGACATAGATGCCATTTTACATTGCATAGAAAAAGCGGAGAAATTCATTTACATATCCGTAATGGATTATTTTCCCTTGGTTATTTATACCCCAAAAATAAAGTAAATACTTTTTATAAACATTGGATTTATAAATTGTATAATATCAAATATAAGAAATAGTCTTTAATTTCATTTTTTGTTTTTTTTTTTCATTTTCTCAGATATTGGCCAGTAATAGATAATGCTTTGAGAGCAGCTGCTATTGATCGTAAAGTCACGATCAAACTGTTAATATCACTGTGGAAACATTCAAGAGCATCTGAAAGTTATTTTCTTAAATCATTAGAAACATTGACGAATAGTTACAGAAATGTTAACATTGAAATAGTGAGTATTCTTTTATGTTATAATAATTATTTTAATATTTTATGTGGAAAAAATGATATAACAAATAAAATATCTTTCAATATTTGTAGAAACGGTTTATAGTCCCAACTTCTACAGAACTGGACAATATACCGTTTTCAAGAGTTAATCATAACAAATATATGGTTACGGATATTTCTGCATACATAGGCACAAGTAATTGGTCTGGTGACTACTTTATAAAAACAGCAGGTACATTTTTTTATATATATATTTATAACTATTTGTACTTATTTATCATTATTCTTACTTATTTTATAGGAATTGGGACAGTTTTTGAAGATGTTGGCCATAAAAATCATGAAAGTATAAGACAACAACTGGAAAATATTTTTAATCGAGATTGGAATTCAAACTATTCATTTGATTTAAATAATACCGATCAAGTCCCACAAAAACGAAAAATTCCAATTGGAAATAATTATCTATTATCATCTCATATTTATCATATGCCTGCATAATCAAAACAGGTTACAATTATTATAAAAAAAAAGAAATGAAATATTGATAAAAAAGAAAAAAATAACAGATATAACTTCCTACCTTGATATAATTTCTATAAATATGATATATTTCTCTTTTATTGCATAATATATCTAAAAGTTACACATGTATCTAATTCAGAAAAAAGAAAACATACTTTCTTCATAATAATTAATCAAATATTGGAGACTGAGAAAGGTCTGGTTTTAAAATAACTAAGCAGTACTGAACAATTTTTAAACGCACATTGTATAAAAAAAAAAAGAAAACTATCCTGTTGAAAGTATACTAAGCGTGGCTTCTTCCATTTAATTGCTTCATTATATTTTTATACCTATATGAGCTTATATATGCTGATTTAAATCCTAAATCAAAATAATGCTCTCTATCTGCAATATTATATGTAATTTAGCAGATATAAAGTATATGTAATATACGTATATAAAATTATCTTTATTTTAATTAAAAGCCATAAATTCTATAAGTATAAATTCTATATTTAATATATTATATTATTAATTCTAAATAACACAAGATCACTGGCTACTATTAAACTTATGGCTGGAAAACGCAACTATTTTTTATTAAAATGCAATTATTCCCAAACAGAGGAAAACTTATTAAATGTTAAATAATACAGATTTTTTACATAATATTATAATCAATGAAATATTGCAAAAAATGTATCTGTGCCTTGCTTTAAGTGTCCTTGCATGAACATTCATACAGCCAAAATTCAAAAACTTATGCACATACACTTACATACATACATGATCCATATAAAAACTTATCAAAACAGTATATTTTCTATGAAGCATACATACATATGTGATTAATACTAACTAAATTATTACTAATATAAGATCTTACAAAATTTGTTATTTCCTATTTCACCATTCAAATGTGAGTCCTATTTAAGAATGAATCAGGTGCATATGTATATAAATTCCCATATGTTCTTGTGAAAGTAAATTCACATTTTTATGAATAAAATAAGATGTAAAATAATTGCACAATATAAAATGTTTAAAATATGAGGTCTTCGTATAGAAAAGTTACAATTATGTATATCATCGGAGATACTAAATACTTCCGCTATGTCATTTCGATTAAATAAACTTGTAAATAATATATCTTGTACATAAAGTCAATGTATTGACAATTAAATATTTGAATCATTCTAGATTCCATCATTATAATTTTAAGACATATATTTAATAGCATAATATATTAAAATATATATTGCATACACAGAAAGTTATATGATTATTACAAGTTTATTATCTCCAGAATATATGTATGTTCATTTAGAAATGTGCATGTGTGCAAGATATATACATATAAATGATAATTATCATTGATGTAAATCATATTGAGCAAAATATGTAAATTTATATTTGTTGAATCGAAATCTTCAATTTTGCAATCGAATAAATGCATAATGATTTTTTCAAAAATTACGAATAAGAAAATAATAAAAAAAAATGTACCAAATCAAAAAGTATTAAATGATTGTAAAAGATAGTAAAAATAATTTGTGAAATTATGTATCCTACTTGTTTTGGTTATATGTTGACAGCCATAACCTAAATCTTTAAATAACACTTTTTAATAAACACGTTACTGATAATATACTGAGTTGTTATTTTTTAAATGCATACGTATACATTGATTTCATATTCCTTGACTTGTGTTTCATTTGTTACTGTCAAAAAGTAATCACGTGACAATCCGCTATCTCGATTGGTTAATATTTTTAACCGTTTCCAAGATGGTATTCAATCAATTTAGTTTCATGATTAGAATGTTACAATTAAATTGTTAAACAAAATACCTTGTTTAATGTGATGTTATTTTCCAAATGTTTTTTCTTATATATATAAATCAAATGTTGTGAAATAAAGTATGTGTTAAACTATGTTTAATTATATGAAACTGACAAGGGAAAAAATATTTATGTTTATCAAATTATTAGCTGATGAACAAAATAAAAGTATACAGTTATCATATTTTATCAATAGAATGAGATATATAAAGTGCAGCAAAATTTTGAATTATGTATACATATTAATTTTTATTACATGAAAGATAACTTAAATATTTAATATTGCATAGCTGAATGTGTTATCATCGTGTTTACAAATTTATATTTATTTTTCATTTTCACACAATTGGAATTAATACGTATTTCATTCATGGATGATTTAGGTATATTATAAAATATGTTATTATAAAATTATTAAAATGTAATATTTTTCGTATTTAAGAATACTTAACCTTATAGAAGTGAATGAAATGGAAAGTATACAGGATCCTGATATTTCAACTGATTTAGAGACAAATGGATTTGATTTGTCTGCTGGAAATACATGGATTTATCCAGACAATTATCCTGTTAGAGAATATCAATATAATATTGTTAAAAAAGCTTTATTCTATAATACTCTAGTATGTCTACCAACCGGTAAGATAATTTTTTAATTTTATTTTATAAAAATAATTTCTATAAATGCATCTACAAAAATGATAAAAGATTAAGAAGTATGTTATTATTAGAGATACATTTTATTATTAGGGTTGGGGAAAACGTTTGTTGCTGCTGTGGTAATGTATAATTTTTGGAGATGGTATCCACGTGGAAAAATTGTTTTCCTTGCACCAACAAAGCCCTTAGTCGCTCAACAAATTGATGCTTGTTATAATGTGATGGCTATTCCAAGTATAGAAAGTATTGAACTCACAGGTATCTATTAAAAAATCAATTGAGTAATTCATAAGCTATATCAATTAATTCGACAAAACAAAAAGTAAAAAAATTATTGTATCATTTATTATTGAACGATAACAAAAATTATTCTCATCTAATGGTGTTAAATCTAATTACTAAGGAAATTTATTTTAAATATGAAAAATTAAAAAATAACATTATAAATTAATAAATAATAAATTAAATATACACATAATAAATTAAATATACACATAATAAATTAAATATAACAAATTCTCAAAGTAGAAATAATATATTTAGCTTGCAAATTTATCACCATTTTTTGAAGTTTCAATTAATATATGGATTTTCTTTTTTTAATAGGCAGTGTAAATCATAAAGCACGTCAAATAGCTTGGTTTAAGAAAAGAGTGTTTTTTGCTACACCTCAAGTATTTCATAATGATCTTGAAAATAATATTATTCCTAGTGAACTCGTAAAATGTGTTGTGATAGACGAAGCACATAAAGCATTGGGTAAACATTCATATTGCGAGGTACATGATTTTTTAAATTTCTTAATGATAAGATAAATCAATGTTCTATTTTGTTTAATTTTGATATTTCTAGTGTATCCGTATATTGACTGAGAAAAATCGATATTTTAGAATACTAGCACTTTCCGCAACACCGGGAAATAAAATTGCTAATGTTCATCAGGTATACTTTAAAAAAATACCTTTTTAAATTATTAATAAACTATTTTCCTAAACTTTTTACTGTATTATAGGTTGTGCAAAATTTATGCATTTCGCATATAGAATTAAGAGATGAAGCATCTCTTGATCTAATGCCATATGTTAATCAAAGAAAGACAGATATCATTTTAGTTCCTCTTGGTCAAGAATTAGAAAAGTTTAAAGATAAATATATTAATATAATGGATCGTCATGTAAAATTTCTCATTAGATGCAATGTTATTCGCGGACAAACTGCAAATATTTCTAAAGGCAAAGTAAGTTCATTTGTATATAATAATAATTCAGTTATATTTCTTATAATATTTTCATGTATATTTATATATATATATGTATATTTTTCTTTTTCTTTTTATAACTAGATCTTTATGATACTAAGGGAATTTCAAAACACGCCAAATCAATCAGGAAATAATAACCAAATTAAAAAAACATTAAATATTTTGCTTACCATGTATCATGCTTATGAATTAATGATTCGGCATGGACTTCGTGCCTTTTATAAGTTTTATCAAAGTAAATGTTTATATAATATGAATCTGTATGGCACTAGTTATATATTTAATATGTTTAATGTCCTTTTAAGATCATTCTGATAAATTTTGGATGAACAGTGAAACTCAACTACAAGAATTAATCGCAGAAGTTCAAACTTATTTGGGACCATTTCCTGATCCTCAACTGTTTATTAGTGGAAATATTCCAGAAGTTAGTATTTCAATTTACCATATGTCTTAATATTTTATTAATTATTTGATTCAGTATAATAATGCTTAAATAATGTTTTTGTATATTTAGATTCCAGATAATCTTGTATTCGGACATAATAAGTTTTTAAAATTAAGAGAATTATTATTGCATCATTTCTCAATGGCAAGTTCTTCTGGAAAAGATACAAGGGCTATAGTCTTTGTAGAGGTTTGTGCATATATGAATTTTATATAAATACATATATTGTTACTAATATTTATTTCAAGAATAATTTTTTTTAATTTTAAGTGTAGTATAGAGACATTGTCAGCGAGGTATACATTTTATTGTTACAAGCAAAACCCATGATAAGACCTCAAATGTTTGTTGGCAAAACTGAACAAAAACAGAAAAGTCAAATAAAGGCGATAGAAGATTTCAGGCAAAATCGTGTTAATGTACTCATTTCTACCAGTATAGGTATATATTATAATACGGTTAATATTTGTATATTTTGATAAAAATAGTAGTAATAATTAATGTTTGCTCCTGTAGGTGAAGAAGGATTAGATGTTGGAGAAGTAGATTTGATAATATGCTTTGATGTATCACAAAAATCTCCTACTCGTCTTGTACAACGAATGGGAAGAACTGGACGAAAACGAGATGGTCATATAATAGTTCTTGTTACAGATGGTAAAGAACACGAAGTACGTACTATTATTTTTTTGTTTTTTTCCGATTTATTTCTATTATACAATTTTTAAATTTATATTATATATATATGCATTATTTGTGAATCTATAGGCCTTAAAATCTACAATGCAAAGAAGAGAATCTTTAAACAGTAAAATTCTCAATACAAGCAATATCAGTTCCTCTTTATATGAGGAAAATCCTCGCATGATACCAGACGTATGTAACCCAGAATGTCGTAAAATGCATATACATATAAAACCAAAAACTCCTGTGAAAAAAGGTACTAAATCTAAGAAAGTAGATAATCAAAAGTCTAATGAAACATCTACGAAAAAGATAAAAACTGCCAAACAATGTAAGTATTTTGATGTAATCATAGTTTACCTCACAAATGAATTATATCTCACTGATAAAATAGTTAAAAATGTGCTTGAATATTTTTAGCTTCTATTAATGAAATAAGAAATACGAATCAGCCTTCATTGTCAAAATTTCTCCTAAAAGCAAAATTTGACGAGCAGCCTAATAATGATAATGATTATAATAACGACGATGATGATTTTGTTGAAATTGTAAAGCCTACTATAATAGAAACTACTATCTCAAATAATAAAACTAATTTAATAAAAGCATCGAATGTTAAATTGCTAACTTGTGACAACGAAGCAGTTGACTTTTTAACATTGTACGCTATGAAGAAATCAGAGGAGGAAATGAAACCGAAAAAACCTAAAATGGATACCACTTATGTGTCTTTAACTGAATCAATAACAAATTTCATTGATTTTACTATACCTAGTTTAGATATACTTGATGATTTGGCTGATTATTTAAGTAATATTAAAATAGATTTATCATTGCCAAAAGAACCTTCTCAAAATGATTATGATGATGACGACAACTTTTGCTTTAATAATCAATACAATATTGTGAGTCCAGTAAACATAGGCATAAATGTATGTACTGTTAGTAAATCCAAGTTCGAAGATTTACTCAATGAAAGTACCGATTCTGATGATATCGCAGATGACGGAAATAATTTAAATAATAAGGATACTAACGTTAATATTGTAGAACATAGTACAGCTGGAACTGTAATAAGTACAAAATGTAGTAAACAAAGTGATAATTTTAATCCTTCGAATACAAATAGTTATGTACCAATGGATGCCGAAGTTAGTTTTTTTGAAGATATATTTAATGATTCATTTGATTCTATTGAAAGTGATTGTAATACCGATAATGTTGAAAATAATCAATTAAAAATGTCTGATTCAAACAATGACTCTTCAAAAATAACAACAAGTAATCAAATACAAGAAAAAACAAATAATTCTACGTTAACAAACATGTTAGATAAGAAACAACCTAAAGAAGAACGCTCAAAACATTGCGAAAATATGTATTCCATAAGTCAAGCTGTTAATAAAATAGCACAAATAAATTCCAAAGAGGATGTACGGAATGCATTTACGGAAGTAAAAGATACACTGCAATATGTAGCACAAAAGTCTGAATATACATCAACTAGTAATAAATCACTTATACAAAGTAATATACGAATGAGTGACTATGAATCCGAAGATGATATATTTGCATCTGATTCAGAAGATTTGAAAATAATTTCTCTAGGCAATGAATCAACGAACAAGACAAATCCGAAAAATGAAACTTTACTAAACTCAGAACAAAGTATTCATACAAAATTAAAATGTATAGGAGAAAACCAGTTTGAAGTTGATGATTTTGAATGGAACAATGACTTTGAAGTATCGTCTGTTTCAGCTGCAAATTCAAAGTATTTTAATTTAAATTCTACTACTAACGATAGTGTAAAAAATAACGATGCTTTAGTATCATCTTTCGCGAATGATATTATGGGGGATGATGTGGATAGCGATGAGTGGATATCATTCCAGCCAAAATCCAAACCAGAAGAACGTGTAAAAAATAATTCTATGAAAATAGCAAAAAAATTATCTACTATAAAGCATTCCTTTCCTAATTCCATTTCCGTGGACGATCAAAATGATTCTGAAAATGATTTTGTTATAAGTACAAACGATATAGAAAAATTAAATCAATTGGAAACTAGTTATTTCTCAGAACAGAGAAGTCAAAATTATGATACGTCTATTCCAAGTAGCAGCTATTGCAAAGATAAGACTTTTAAAAAAGTTGAAAAACAAGGAATGACATTTAACAAATTAAGTTCTTTTAAAGCCCAAGATAAATATTTAAAGTCACAAGATTTTAATAAAACAAGTCAGAGCAGTCAATCAAAATATATGAAATCTTCAAGGGATCCCTCTTACAAAAACAAATCAATAAGTCAAAAGAGTAAAGTGAGAAGTCAAAAGAGTAAAGTGAGAAGTCAATGCGAATATATTGATTATGAAGCAGCAGTATCGTGTAATAGTAGTTCTAGTGAAAGTTCTGGTGCAGACGAGGATTTAAAAGATTTTGTTAGTTACACTCAATACGCACAAGAGGAAGATGTACATGCTTTATATCTACAAGCCAGTAAAAGTCCTATAAAAAAACCTGGTGCTTTTGTTTTTAAAGAACCTCAAGTATCTACAAAAATAACAGATATATATTCTCAACCTTGTTCACAGGCCGATGAAACGTACCTTCAGGTAAATTTGAATATTTTTTATTTCAAGTATATATATGTAATATTTAATTGCAAATTAATTAATGTCAAATTTGTTTTATTTAGGATTCCTTTTGCGTAAATGGTGATGAAGATGACGATGTCGATGAGAGTAAACCTATTCATGGATATTCTATATTGGAAGAAGCAGAGAAAATACTAGAAACTAAAAAGAGGAAACGAATTAAATCTGATAGATCAGAAAATAGTGTATGGAAAAATAGAAAAAAAAGAAAAAAGAATAAAGTAATAAATATTTCTTCAAATGATAGTAGTGAGGATGAAACTGAAAAATTACGTATAGACATTCAAAATGAATCGATGATGTTGAAAGGTTTACATCCATAAAATTTTGTATTGTATTATATATATAGAAAACTATGAAAGATAGAAACCAAACTTAAATATGACACTATTTCTCATAATTTCAGATACTTTTAATTTTACATTGAATGTGTTAATTTTTTACTGTTATTTTTTTTTGTATAGAAATATTTATGAATAGCAAAGCATTGTTTTATACTAAAATTTATATTAAATGAGAGGATTGTTTCGCATTTAAAATATCATATCGTATATTATACAGATATATGAAAATTTGTCGCTGAAGAAAAAATAATTCTCTTATTATTGTTATTTCCAATTGTCTTCGTTCAACTATTTTTACTCTAGGGTTATTAGATTTTATGCATAATTTAAATGAATAACAAATATACAACAGATTTATTTCTATAATTAAATATAGTTAAATCGTGACGTGTCAATGTAGTTAGAACAAACCTTGAAGAATTCGAATATAGTAGGAACCAGGAGACGCTAAGTAGACACAAAAGAAAGAATAGATAGAGATAAGAGACAATTGGTTCTGTTCAAGCTAATTTTGCATATTTCATCTATATAATATAAATGTTATTTTACCGTTTTCATTACCTCGATCATTCGGCGAGTACTGTTATTTGATAATTTAAAGCAATTTGGCGTGGAAAATATTTTCGTATAACACGTGTTTTCTAATCAAATAGTAGTAATAATAATAGTAATAATAAATATATATTAATATGTATATATATTTTTGTATAATTTATATTTGGCAATAAGAAATTGTATTACTTTTTCAAGGAATATAAGTATTTTATTTATTTCTTTTTCCCGTTGGAAAGTTCATGGACAATACTTAAGAAGTTAGTTAACACAAAAAGTTCGTTGGTTTTTTAGAAAACTAGATAAGATTAAGAAATTTTAGACGAGCAGGTATATCAGGTGAAGATGCTGTCCATCAGTAACAAAGAAATGAACTATCAGAAGAGAAACGACGTACAAAAAAAAATATTTATATATATTATATATAAATGGAGAGAAAAAGAGAAAAATGTTTAGAATAATTAAATGAATAAACATATACAATTAATTGAAATTAACGATAATAATAACAGAAAATAATAATAAATAATCGGTTGGATCGATTTACGAACATATGTGTGTATGTATTAAGTCGGCTTGTATTGTTAACGTTATTGGTGATATTTATATAAGATATATTTTTGTATAATTTATATATCGCAATAGAAAATATTATGATGATTTTTCAAGGAATACAATCATCTTATTTATTTCTCATTCCCGTTGAAAATTTCACACAGAATTGTAGAAGTTGGTCATAACAGAAAATATGCAGTATTTTTGGAAAACTGGATAAGATTAAGAAGAACCTTTAGTCGACCAGGTATGCATTATCAGATTAAAGTGCTGTCCTTCAATAACAAAGGGATGAATTGCTAAGGAAAGAGAAAAGATATCCAAAAAAATGCCCCTACAAATTCTACCTGCACTATATAAGGAGAAGCTAGGAAAATTTTCGTCATTTGTGGAGCTACGTTAAACGGACCAGGAACGTTTGGAAAAGCTCGTTAGTTTCACTTATAATAGGATCTATTAGAACGAATGTAAGAACATCTTCAATATTTTATTATATTTTATTTTAAGTCCTAATTATATATATATTCAATTTTTAGGCTCCTGTTAAATAAATGTATTGATTTATATAAAAAATGATCTAATAAAACAATGAAAATGTTTCGTGTTTTAATAATATCTACATTGATCTGCTTGGGATTGGCGAGTTCGATTGTAAAACGTAACAGTAGCTTGCAATCAACTCAAGAATCACAACAGCAATCTCAACAATTGACAGTCGCTGAAAATCAAAACAATAATCAATTGCAAATGAATTCATATTTGCCAGAAAGTTTATTACCATCGAGACAATATTTATATCCAGCTTATCCAAATTATTTAAATAGTAGAGGAGATCAAATTCAATCGAGAGGAGAAGAATACCAAGCTCCGATATCATCCCAGGAAAAGCATGATTGGCCATTTGTATTCTCACAAGGCTTGATTCCTTTAGTTACTAGCCTTATGTTGTATGGTTCTCAATTTTGGTCCGTTTTAGCATATTTCGCGCTTGCTTTCGTTGTCGTTAGTGTTATTACTATTGTAATATGCACATTTACTAATATCTGTCTCATTAATTTATCAGATTTTCCTCTTTACAATTCTCAGGTAAGTAGAATCAATTTTGATTTTTCTCTCGTACGTTCTAAATTAATAATTAAAAGATCTATGCTAATTATTTTATCTCCGTTATGTTTAACAGGTAAAAGAACAAGTTACGGATTTGGCACGAACCTACATTACACCCGAAAGCTTAAATGCAGCTACTGTGTATATTTTGAATGCTTATAACAAGTACCACGGTATGCAACGAAAGAAACGCGATCAATCAAAAGAAGAAATAATAAAATGACAATAAAAACTAATCCAATTAGTTTAATTAATTGTATTGTTATGTGTTTTTGTCGTAGTCATCAGATTCTCTGATTTATATATCTTACGGAAAAAATCTAATTGCAATAATTGTCGTAGCGAATAAAAGGATATTGTCGTATCATTTTCCCATCAAATGTTTTTCATTTACTAACACCAACATTATTATTTTTATCTTATTTTGTAGAAATCCTCTTTTAATTTATTTTTTTTTTTTAAATCTTTTCTATTTTGTTCGTTAATAACGTCATCTTATCAAATATATATCAATTTCACGATTCATTGTGGTCGGAGATATTTTATCAATGAATTTAAAAAGAATTTTGATCTAATCTATACGAGTAATTTATAGCGTTAGACGTCAAAGGATTTTACGAGGATTTCGTAAAGAAACGATGAAATAAACCTAAGATGGTTTATGTTGAGTTAAACTTTGGTTTCTATTCTTAGTTAATTCCATCACGCATATCATTAAGAAATCGTTAAACAAAAAAAAACATTACAAAAAATTCTTTCAAAAGACAGAATTATTTTTACATGAGTCACATAAGCTGCTTATTTCTAACAACGATTCCGTTCTTTCTTCTCCCCACTATATTTCTTCTTGTATCTCTCCCTCTCTTTATCTCTTTCTCTCTCTCTTGTATTCTCTTTAACTTTTATACAGCAACCGATGCTCGACCGGTTTTAATCTTTAGTGAACTCGTATTCGCTTCGTTTGTACATTGTATCAGTTGCGAAGATCATCGGTCGCGTTTACATACAAATTCGTATTTTTCTGATAAACAAACTAATTTTATATTAACGTTACCTATAGAAAAATCATCATCATGAAGCTTATTGAAATATTAGGTAAGAATAAGTGTTTATTTTAGATTGATTTATAAAATCCGATTGATCCATCCATTTGTAAATTACCTTATTCGACAGTTGTATTTTGTATTAAAAATAAATCCTTGAGTTTTCCATCCATTATGAACAGTTATTTCTTAACGAGTATAATTTTAATATATTTTTAATATATTTTTAATATATATATATATATACATCGATCGCGGTATTAGGACGAACGATTAATAATTAAATAATTATTAGAATTAATGAAGTAATTTAACGAAACGATGGTATAACTGATATAAATATATTTAAAATATATTCGTGCATTTATAAATATAATCTTTAAAATATTAATTCACCGAGAGAGTACGATGGAACGTAATAAATCGCATGATTGATAGACGTACCCAAAGTGTTCGTAGGAACGCTATTAAATAACGTTGAATTCAAACTAAACATAAGATTCGCATAGAATGCTATTAAATAACGGTGAATTCAAATTAAACATAAGATATTTTTCTCTCAATTATTAACAATACAAATTTCTCGATTATTGACAATAGAAATTTCAATTGCAGTGTTAATCGATGCGCGACTAATAATCATAATCATATTTGATTATTTTCAACTCATTTGAGTTTTCTTTTTATATATGACATTACAATTCAAGGTTAAAAGTTGTTTCGGTACTCAAAAAGTGTTCCGACTTTTCGACGATAATTTCTACATTTCGTTTGCGACCCGAAATCACGATGTTTGTTATGTTGTTTGAATAAATCTAATGAATGTGTTGTATTGCTACTTTTTTCCTTCATTGTTAATAATTGCTTACTTCCAACAAGAATTTTGTTTTTCATCTTCTCCATAAATATTGAGAGGGGGGTCTTGGCTAATTAAGGGATACTAATTATAGGTTGCACCTTATTTTTATGGAGTCACGTGTTCGTTTCTACAATAAACAGCGCTGCTGTACAAAGACAACCAAAAAATTTGAATGTTACCAATGTGTCGATGAGAACCAACGCTACTACATATGACGATGATGCCGAAGATTTCGTTCCTTATCTTGGAGAACGTTTCAACGTTTTTGACTGGATACTTTTTAAAGTGAATAATTTTTTCTATAGAGATTATCCACATACAAATTAAATACATACAATACAAATCGAAGATTTAATTTAATTTAATTTAATTCAATTCTGTTATTTTATTTTATTTTATCTATATATATATATATATATATCTTTATTTATCAGGCTATGGGAAAGATGTATGATGGAAATATATTAGTATCACCGATATCTATAAAATTGGCATTAGTTTTGCTTTACGAAGGAGCTCAGGATCGAACAGCGCAAGAATTAGCTGGAGTCATGGAATTACCAGTTAGCCGATCGGCAATTCGTGAAAAGTTTGGTGAAATCCTCCTATCGTTAAAGGTAAATGTAAAAATATTTAATCCTTAATCTCTCTCTCTCTCTCTCTTTTTCTCTTTCTTTCTNCTCTCTCTCTCTCTCTCTCTTTTTCTCTTTCTTTCTTCCTCTCTCTCTCTCTCTCTCTCTTTTTCTCTTTCTTTCTTCCTCTCTCTCTCTCTTTTTCTTTCTCTACCCGTTTTTCTCCTATGAATATATCGATTATATGCTACCGAGAATACATTAATCGTTCTTCTATAACTACATAGACAGGATATTTATTTTTTCCTACAACGTTATCAGATTTTCAAATGATAGC